GTAAATAAAAGAAACAAATATAATTGTCATGATCTAAATCAAAAACATACATCGTTTCGATTTTGCTCGGGTCATCTTCAATGTACATGTAAACATATTAAAATAAAACAGATCACCTAAATGACATACTTCAATTAAACGGATCAATTAATAAAATAGTACAAAGCAACAATTGCCATCTGTAAAATCGCATCCTGTCATTATCAAATTGATATTAAGTCCGTAACAATATAGTGTATATTTTAGATATCAAAATAATGAAATCCTTATTAGTATCAAAGTGCGCAAAGTATTTACAAGCATCGTAAATTCAAATTCAAATTAAAATCTATAAAAATAACGAGAACAAACGTTACATTAACATAATATTTAAAGCAATAAAAAGGCGAGAGCAATAAATACAATAATATTAAATATAAAGTGATAAAAGTCCGTCTATAGATTCATATGTATAATTTGATCTTGTAGTAAAAGTTACCTTAGAATTATAATATTACAGCATTTAATGATAAAAAAACCTTCATGTCTGTATTAACAAAAATTCTTCCACCAAGATAGTACATTTAATTCGATGTTGGCAAAAGAATACAAAATTTGGAAGCAGTATTGCGAAGAAACGTCTTTATCATGGCTGAGAAACACAGAGTGAAGGAATCGTTGAAAAATGGAGGGTTTGGAAATAGTTTGAAAAGGGAAATAAGAGGAAAAGGAGGAAATGACTAAGAGAGGGAAAAAGATTGTATAATAGGAAGATAAGAGTCATGTAATGATTAAGATTCACTTTGCTTATTTAGATCCTGGCTTTACTTTTTTATATGAACCATTTCAGATACTTTTCTTATAGGAAGGTTCATTACCATTAGGATTTTAACATTGCTCCAATCAAAATTGTGTTACAATCAATGCGATGGTTTATAATAACAGTCGGAGAGCCCGTTTTTTTATTTATGTTTTTGCAATCTAATCTTTAACCTCCTCTTCGTTTTTGACCCACATAATTGGCATCACAATCCTCACAAAATATTTTATACCATCCCTTGATATGATAAAATATCTAATTGATCTTTTCCCTCTTTTTTATATACTTATTTAACATATTCGGAATTAAATAGGCTAACTTCGAATTCATTTTAAAGGTGATAGACCTAAAGCTTTCAGAAACTGACTTTAACATACGGTATAGTGAAATATTTGTCCGCGGATATCTCTTTTTTAGGAAAATAAAAAATATGAAAGTTTTTGTATTTATTTAAATGTAAAAAAGAAGTCTGTTATGAATCGTGGCAAATATGAAATGAAGAAAATAGCCATTCTCCAAAAACGTCTGAACAGCATCTGTAAGATTCTTCTCTTAAAATTTAGATGTTTAATTAAAAATAATAAGATGCAATGTCTAACATGTGAATGTATACGCAATGTAATATTAGTTCGATAACTTTTAGTACTAATCACTCAGCAAGCAAGAAACAGAGATAAAAATTAGATAAAAATTTAGAAATATTGTCTTCATGTAAGTTTCATCAACATTTCATCCAATATTTTATAAATACAATAGTAATATTACCTAATGATATAATATTTCCGAACCTTTAAGAAATGTTTTGATAATATTACGATTATTTTGTATTATAATTGTACCGAACGTTGAAAGAATATTGTTGAGATGTTGCAATGTTAAATTGACGTGTAAATCTTTTCTCAATGTTGAATTTCATTTGATTTTTCTATATTGATTATCAATTGCTACAACGTTAAAATTAACATGTTAATATTAAAGTCGCTCACTCGGAATCAGTACACTATATATGTATATGGCCTGTAGATGGACGTGACGTAGCAATTTTCTCAAAAAAATTACGTTACAGAATAGAATCAAAGGTATAGCATTATAAGATTCTTCATTCGTGCTTTAACGAAGTGATTTTTAAAAAGTAACCCAAGATGAAAGCAAATGAATCGATTTGGACTACTAATTTGGATACTATGGACATGTAAGCTAATTATAATTGTATCATTCTTGCTAAGGAGGACTCTAAAGAGAGTCGAAACGTTCAAAATAAAGAAGATATCGATTCAACATCTGATTATTGATTGTTCATTACATAATTGCGCTGTTTATTGTTATTGACTCTCATTATTAGCTATTATATTTTCATTATTAGCTATTATATTTATCTTTTTGTATTGTTTAAAATTCGAGAGTCCTAATATAATTATTGTTATTATATACATATATACATATACCACATATACCACATTTATAGTCATCATAGGCAGAGAATTATAATTTTTTGATATGTGGAGCATCGTGGGAGAGGAGAGAGGGATAATAAATGTCGGAATTTTTTTTTATATATACATACATATATAACATTTCGTGCAAAAACAAAGCAATGTAATTCATTTTTTGATACTTGTTCATAATGTTGTCATGATAATGGCAGAAATATTTGTTAAATAAAATTTTGCTATAATTTTGTCAAATTAACACTAGTATTTTTGATGATAAACAAAATTGCTTCAATTTTGCTGAAATATTGCCATATTCAAACATTTTTACCACAATTGTTGCCATAAAGTTACTATAAAGTTAATCTACAATTTGTATGTTTCTTTGCTTGCAATATTGCATTAAATAAAGACCTTGGCAAATTGCTCGCAACACTTTTAAGCAAATTTTTAGCAAAATGCCAGCAAAATATTATCTGAGTTATAAATATACAAAGTGCCACCAATTTATGGCCTCACCCATCTTGAGCAGGTAGAGTGGACTAAACTGAGTCGAAAAGGCCTGTGCCATTTTGCAATGCTCGCAATAGTTAACGAGATATTAACATTTAAAGATAGCCGAATACGCGCGATCTACTATTGCTGAAGGTATGACCCATCGAGCGTACAGTACGCGGGGGATGGCCTAGTAGGCGCGCCGCTTGAGCTCAGTGGTTTGCGACGATGAGCGGAGCACTTGTTCCCTTCTCCACACGCCAAGCTATCGATGGCGCATATTCGGTGCTTTAGAAATAATATCTTGATTGCGAAAATTGGGAAATGATTAAGAACTGTTCGAAAAAACTCAATTTAGTTCGTCCTGAAGTGTTCACATGTACATACAGAAAAATGTTACATAAATATTACTTGTTTCAAGTATATAATAAGAGTATTTTAAAATTATATTATCAAGAAAATATTCTTTATAATGATATAATCATTACTCAAAAGAAGAAGAATAAAAATTGCGTTCTCTCTTAGCACTAGAATGATATTTTTCTGCATTTTTCTATACAGCAATTTTTTAAATATATTTTGAATCGCTTGTATGCAATACATACTAACAATTACAAAAGCTTTATAAATTAATTTAAATTTTGTATGTCAAAAAGTATTGTCTTTACTTTGTACAACATTTATAGTATAATTAATAAATTTCACAAATTTGATCAGAGAACACAAATATGGTCTCATGCTATGATGTATGTTGTCAGCCTATCCCCATAAGTGGGGGATAGACTAGCAAAAACTATAAAATATTTTTAATTTAATTTTGGCATATAAAATTAAAAATAATTTATAAAACTTTTGCAATTGCTAGTATGTGTACAAGTGATCTAAAATATATTTCAAGAATAATACAATTGTTGTTTTATGTCTCAATTTTTTACACGATCATTCAATGAAATTTATGCGAATGTCTGAACTTCCATGAGCGGTAGTGCAGGAAAATGCAGGAAAATATCATTCTAGTATTAAGAAAAAACGCAATTTTTATTCTTTTTCCTTTAAATAACGATTATATCATTACAAAGAATATTTTCTTGATAATATAATTTTAAAATATTTACTCTTATTATTTACTTGAAATAAGTAATATTTATGTAACATTTTTCTGTATGTACATGTGTACGCTTTAGAATGAACTAAACTGAATTTTTTCGAACAGTTCTTAATCATTTCCCAATTTTCACAATCTAGATACTCGTATTTCTAAAGCGCTGAATATCCGCCATCGATAGCTTGGCGCGCGGGGAATGGGATAAGCGCTCCGCTCACCGCCGCAAGCCACTAAACTCGAACGACGCGGTGCGCCTGATAGGCCATCCCCGCTCCTCGCGGCCGTACATTCGGTAATAATAGGTCGGACGCGCGTATTCGGCTATTTTTAAACGTTAATACCTCGTTAACGTTATTGTGAGCATTGTGAAATGGTACAGGACTTTTCGACTCAGTTTAGTCCTGCTCAAGACTCAAGACGGATGGGGCCATAGATTGGTACTACCCTGCATATATACGTTCGCACGCACGCACGCACGCACATATAAGGTATCTGAGCCGAATAAGGCCCACTTAATCTATTTTATTTTTTTAAATTTTATTTATAGGGATATTGAAATAAACTTTGTGAGAATAAAATCTTTATTCCAGTAACTTACAAAAAATATATACATTTTTTATGGAAAAAATTTTTAAATAAGCAAAAAAAAATTTTTTTTTAATCTGACTTTAGGCCTTATTACATGCATATGTATTTACTAAAGCTCGATCACACATAAACGAAAAATAAAATCTTTTTAAAAAGAAACTTTGTTTTTTAAAATAACAAATAATCTTTGGTAACTATCTTTGACATTTTCTTACTTTAGATAACTTTAACTCGTTAAATTTTAACTTGAAAATATTAACAGCATTGAAAATCTGTATCTTGTGGTGTCCCATACATAACTCGTGGTACCATTTATTACATTGCCTCACATCCTCCATACGATCTTTTTTACATACAACACACCGTACAATACCAAGTAGCTGTTGGAGTGGAATGAGTGATAGCTTTAGATGTTGAAAGTTGATCTGACTTTTTGTCACATTGCTTCTTGAAGAGATTTTTAGTTATCTTTTGTGATTTGTAATTTAATGCTTTTTTTCTTTGCGAGTTTCCAGTTGAAAAATCTTTGCGTATTGGAGTTGATATAAGTTTTGAAACAGTCGATTGATTTTCTTTATTCTTGTTTAATAATTCGGCTAACGGAATGTCTTCATCATCACTGATTATTAATGAATTTATCGCTATGTTTGGAGTTTGATTTTTTATTGTTGGACGCTCTATTAGAATTGATGGAGCAAAAGCAGAATCTGGAATGGCTTCAGGATCAAATCTACAGTTCTAAATCCATTTGTTACATTAGATTGTGTCATGTATTTTGACCACATTTCTTAGAACACTATATTGAAACTCGTTTTGTTGAATTTTCTATCTGGATGTTTATCTTGATATTTTAGAAATTCCTGATCTCAATAATGATCAAAAAATCTATAAACTGATTTGTCAAGTGGTTGTAATTCATGGGTGGTGTTGGATGGTAAACAATACAATACAATATCATGTTTGTCAGCGGCTTCCACAATTGTGTAATCAAGGTGAGAGACATCAAAAACAAGCAAAATATTTCCAGCAAATTTGAAAGAAGCAAAGTGATTCAAGAATTTTATAAAAAGCTCAGTAGTCATGAAATCTTTTGGTGCCATACTTATTATGCTTCCTGATGGTAAATTATCAGTGAACTCTGGCTTTTCGCGTTTACCTTTAAAGATAATCATGGTGGGATCACGATCTACAGCTGACACACAATCAACTACAGTGACATTTTCAGCATGTTCGTTTGCGGTGAAGTGGATGCGTTTGGCGGTTTTTTGAGTTAAAACAATTGATGATGCATTGTTAATCTATAACCTTTTTCGTCCATGTTGAAAATCCTTTCCGGGTTAAATTTTATATCTAGTTCTGTCAAAAGGTTATTAAGCTTTTCAAAGTGGTCTTTTACAATAAATTTGTTCAATTTTTGAGCACGAGCTTGGTTCATAAATTGCGCTTTCCTTTTCGAAATTTCAAGATTGCGTTTTAGAAATCTGCAAGCCATGATTTGCCTGCTGTGCACATAATAGTGTTAAACGTATGAGAAATTTCATGTAATGTGCAAAACTTGTATACCTGTAAACAATATATATATATGAAACGATAAAAATAAAATTTAATTAATTAATTAAATAAGAGAAATTCTACTTTCAGTCAAAGTAGATCTTAGTGATGAAGTATTTCTGTTAATTATATTAACAGAAGCAGTAAATATTAAAGCAGTAAAAATTGCTTTAACAAAATATATACAGTGATGGCAAAAAGTCCCGGAACGGTCAAATATTTCGAAAACCATCGGTATTTAAAAAAACGCTGAAACGATTTTTCAAAAAATCTATCTTTTGAGGGGGGTTAAGACCCTCCACCCCTAAGGGGCACGTGGGGCACAAGGGGGGTCGAAAATCTTAAATGGCAACATAGGTCGAGTGGGGGCTCATTTGAAAGGTCTTCTCAAGACGAATCCAAAACACTCCGCATAGAGGGCGCTGCGTTCACTTTTGGCGGGAAAATGCAATTTTGAAAATTTTTTAGTCAGAAACATTAAAAAAGTTTAGTGTTTCGATAATCACCGGAACACGTGAAACGATTTTTCAAAAAATCTATCTTGATGGTGTAGTAAAATCTTATAATGGTAATATGGGTCGGAACTACTGCCGGCATCAGCATTACCCGAGATGTACCACGTGGAGGTTGCACGATCAGATTTACATCTCTTCGGAGTGCTTGATTTAAGTGAGTCCCCTTGCCTCTCACTTTGCGTGCAATAATTAATGCGTGCAACAAATGCTCAAATTGATATCCATTAACCTCTTGACAGTGTGCTAATCGATTGTACTCTCCCTTACGTTTTGAAGCATTTCTGACGTAATTAAATTCGACACTTCAACAATTCGAATCTTTAATTCGTCAAGATTCGCTGGTTTTGTTTCGTAGACCTTGCTTTTTAGATAACCCCAGTAAAAGAAATCTAGTGGCGTTAAATCTGGAGATCTTGGTGGCCATTCAATTTGACCTCTTCTACCAATCCATTTATTAATAAATGTTTGGTTTAGAAAATTACGCGTTGTCGTGGCATAATGAGCTGGTGCACCATCCTGCGGAAACCAAACATT